ACCCAAAGATTATAAGCAACACAGTCAGCCATCCTCACCTTATGAAGTGCTGAAAAAGGTGCCCTTGTTATGCCTTTCGATCAATCCCCGTTCTAAGCCGATTAGAAGTGGAAAATCCAACCAGCAGACAAAAGCCGGGCGGCTATTGCAAAAGGTGGGCGGCTTTCGTGGTCTGCAGCTACGAACAGCTTCCTTTAAGTGGCGGTTTCCGGCGATTTCGACTCCTATCGATTCACCAACTCTTCTAAGTTAATTATCACCACTTTATAACATTATTCTACACTTTTAAACGTGTAGAACATCATGTTTAATCCACCATATGATTTCTTAAAAATCATACACCATAAAACTAGTTAAAGAAGATAGGTGAGTTCTTACCTTCTTCGTTGCTAGTTTTCTCCTTGGATTTCCCCTACTCTTGCTTCCTCCGAGCTTTAGTTTGTGAAAGATGTTTCCTAGAGCTCCTCTTGCCTTGTATGGTTCGAATGGCTCTCAATGATAGGGGGGAGGTATCTACTCTCAATCAAAGACCAAGAATAGTACTAAGAGAGGACATGAGGTGTATAGGTTTGTCTCTACCCATCCCTTCACTCACTAGTCCGCACATGCCACTCAATTCATGTTCCTCCAGCTCCCCTTTAGTCAACTAGTGCATACAAAAACGTGGGATGGCCCCCACTCGCGTGGGAAGTCATCCCATTATGCCCCGGTGTGTACAACCGGCCCCGAAAGTTGTATTTCTTGGACTGTTTTAACTATATTTTATTTTATCGGGCCAAATAAAATATATCACGCGTTCCTCATAATCATGGGCCTTTAGAGAAGATGTATGTTCCCCAACATTAATTTAGGAGTCCCCGAAATTCATTTCGGGCCGTTATCTGATAAATTACCAATACCGGTAATTGGGCCTCGTTTGACCAACAGGTCAACTCCATGCCCTTTCCATGGCCATCTAAATATTTGGGAGTCCATTCCCATTATTAGGGACCCGATAAATAATTTAATTAATCACGCACTAATTAAATATACCAATTCCGTTACACGATTTTATTCGTTAGGAAATTTAAGTACATATCAAATTTCGAATCCAAGTACATCCGGTGCGGTGTCACACTTGTACCCCTGCTGAATGCTATTTTAATGATATAAGCGCCTTACGACAAAAAAAACTTTAAGTTGGGCCAGTGATAAAAAAAACTTTAATTTGGGCCACGATAAAAAACAAACTTTAATGTATAATAACATTGAGATGGGTTAAAAATGATTGTTCACACCTTTTCACGATAAATAACATTATTCTTATATGATCTGGAATATATATTAGATTAGAACACACTAAAACATACTCCCTCCCTTCCGCTATTAACTTCCTGCTTTCCTTTTTGGACCGTCCCAAAATGATCTTCTCATTTCCCTAAATGGAAAGTTATCATATATCAAAACAGTGTCAAACAGTGCCAAACAGCAGGGCTGATCCTAACATTTTTTTGGCCCGAGTCGATTTTTTGTAAAAGGCCCTTGAGTAATGTAAAATTTGGGTATTAAGATTCATAACACTAATATGGGAAAGTGTCAAATAGGTCCTCATACTTCAAAAAATGGTCAAATAAGTCCTTATTTTGGAGGCTCTGTCCTACCGTCGCCATTTGGGGCGGTTCCCGGTGAAATTTTTTGATAATTTTTTTTAAGAATCTTATTCATGAAGTCTAGTTTACTCATACCAAATTTCAGCTAAAACTTCAATCGGGAACCCATTCAAATTAATTCTTGAAGATAACTACTCTATTAACTGCGCTATTATCTTCAAGAATTAATTTGAATGCGTTCCCGATTGAAGTTTTAGCTGAAATTTTGTATGAGTAAACTAGACTTGATGAATAAGATGCTCAAAAAATTTCATCAAACAATTCCACCGGGGATCTCCCCAATTGCGACGACCGGACAAAGGCTCCTAAATAAGGACTTATTTGACCTTTTTATGAAAACTCGGGGACCTATTTAACACTTTTCCCCAGTAATTTAATTTATATGCTTACATAAAAAAAACTAAAACCCACATACTGCATGATATTATTTTGATTGATTTTGTTTTTGTAATCTTGCTATTTTAATATGAAATAGAAAAATTGTGTATATATACTACTAGCATACAATTATTTATGGGCCCATAATTTTCACTAAAAAAATGGGGCTTGAGGCAATTGCCTCTTTGCCTCAACAAGAGGTTCGGCCCTTCCAAAACAGTACCAAACAGTGTCAAAATAGTGTACTCTACAGTAAAGTCAAATTTATTTCCTAAATATGTGTGTAGGTCAAAGTATGAAGTTAATAGCGGGACGGAGGGAGTACAAGATATAAGTATGAAGTTTTTGTCCACTACACTTTAAAGAGTAATCTCAATGAAATTTTTTCAAGATATAATATCATACGTAATATATGTATAATTCTTGAATGTTATTTATATCTACCACCCCCATCCCAAAAAACTTATCCATTTTCAAAAGGGAAAAGGGTCAGATAGACCCTCGAACTTATATAAAAAGGTCAAATAAGCGCTTTTATAGGAGGCTCTGTCCGGCCGTCGCCATTCGGGGCGGTTCCCGGTGGAATGTTTTGATGACATTTTTTGAGCATCTTATTCATCAAGTCTAGTTTACTCATACCAAATTTCAGCTAAAACTATAATCGGGAAGGCATTCAAATGAATTCTCGAAGATAACTACATAGTTAAAAGCGCATTTATCTTCTAGAATTCATTTGAATGCCTTCCCGATTGAATTGGTAGTTGAAATTTGGTATGAGTAAACTAGACTTGATGAATACGATGCTCAAAATATTTGATCAAAAAATTCCACCGGGAACTGTCCCAAATGGTGACGGTCGGACAGAGCCTCCTATATAAGGGTTTATTTGATCTTTTCACGTAAGTTCGAGGCCTATCTTTTATTGGAAATTATTTATAATATTATATGAAAATGTTCTTTGTTAAAACTATTCTTATAAAAGTATAAAACTTATGAGGACTAGATCCCGAACTCGTGCAGATCTCTTCAGTCTAGGATAAGCTCTTTTGCTTTCTTGGGTGGTTTTTCTTAGTTAATTACACTGCGGTTTGGGTTAGCGATTTCTTTTTTCCCTTTCTTTGTTTTCCTTTTCGTGCTTTAATTTTTTGTAATTCTTGTACTTTACTTTCCTCTTTCCTTTAACAAAATTTCATTTTTTTCAAAAAAAAGTATAAAATTTATATCTTCCATAATATGGAGTATTATACTAATAAAAATCATGGTTCAAATTTTATGAAATGATAAAGTTTTTTGGGACAGAGATAGTATGTGTTGTGCAAAAAAGAAATAAGACACACGAAAAAGGTAAAGTGGGACAAATTTATACGATAGTATACAACATATAATTTTTCCAAATTATATACAGAGTATAATAAACGTACATATATAGAGCCCGTTTGGTAGCACGAAAATCGACTGTTTTGGCTGATTCTGCTGAAATTTATGAAGTTCTGGCTGAAGTGGATGCATTGGCTGATTCTGCTGATTTAAGAAAATATATTTTATTAATAAAATAAAGAAAAAATTATATGTAAAAATAGCTAAAATGGTCATCTACAGTAACTTCAGCCAATACAGCCAGAAAAGTAACTTCAACCTTACTTTTTCTGCTTATTACACAATTCAGCGCGCGAAAGCAAAAGTTACGTGTTTGGTGAAAAGTTGGCTGATAAGCCTGATAAGCTGAAAAACAGTGTTGTCAAATGGCCTCATAATTTCAAAGAATATTATATACAACTATACAAGTATGTTTAGTACATTGCTCCATATCTTTTTAACTTGGAAAATTAATACGTAACTGTTTTCTATGCATTTTTATTTTTCTAATTAGTCACTTTTTATTGTTTTAATATACTAAATACATACATGTACGAAGTACAAGAAAACATGTTATGGTAGGTTGTATCTCAATGTAACTTCTTTTTACTATGTAATTTCTTTGTAAATTTCTCATTTTTCATATTTAGTCAACCTCGCTGATATTAGCTTTCTATTGTTAATACTCCCTCCGGTTTTTAATAAACTTCACACTTTTCTTTTTGGCACGGTCTAAAATAAACTTCACGCTTTCTTATTTCTTTTTTTGGCAAAGAAATCTACATCAAAACAGTGCCAAACAGTGTCAAACAGTGTCTCAACAGTGCCAAACAGTATCTCAACAGTGCCAAACAGTGTCAAACAGTGCCTCAACAGTGTACTCTACAGTAAAGTCAAATTTCTTTCCTTATTTGTGTGAAGTCAAAGTGTGAAGATTAAATAAAACCGGAGGGAGTATGTTTTTTATTCGCCTCTTACAATAAAAAGATATAAATAATATTCAGACACACATTAAAACTTTTTTTAAAAATAATTAGTAAGAAATTGGGTCTTCACAAAAAAGTGATTTTTTAATGAAAAGAAAAGTATAACAATACTAAAACAACATAACACTCTCTATATCGCTATTTTCATTCCCAGTTTGAATGTTTAATTTCGTACAAAGTTGAAGTAAATGAAACTCAAAAGGTAAATTTCGCTGGAGCTTGAGTAAAAGAAGGATTTATATGGATTCCACAAATGAAATAGTTATGATTGCTATGGATTTTAAATTGGTAAAATAGTAACCGAAAGTTTCCATGTATTATTATTATAACAATTCTGCTTAAACATAATGATGTTAGCTATAGGGTGCTACTGTGTGTCTAAAATGATTCCAATTCTTGACTAAACAAAAATAAAATATACATATCTGGAGACAGAAAAGTTTCAAAATTCTTGTGATAAAACATAAATAAATACTAGTAGTAATAATGGAATTATGGAACCAGTGGAATGATACTATAGAAGCTTGAGAATGAAGTTTTCAACCAGCTCACAAACAGTAGAATATGGAGCACTAGTAGACATGTGGGTCCCACCCCCATCACAGCCACCACCTCTCTTTCCCTCTATCCCCTGCTTTTTTTTTTTTCCCTTTTATAGCTTCCATACCCAAAACATATACTTCCCCCTCTTCCTCTAAACCTCAGTTTTCTTCTCAACTAACTAACTACTTACTCTGTTTTTCTCTGTTTTGATCCCACTAATAATACTTTTTTAAGGTAACCTTCCAAAATTAGAAAGTTTAGTGAGCTTCTTTAATGGAACCAGCACATGGCTTAATTGGAGGAGGCAGGTTGGTAAATAATGAGGCAGAGCTTGAGTTGGGGCTGAGCTTGGGGAGTGGTGGAGTGGGAAACATCAAGAAATTGTCAAAGTGTGGGGGTAGAATATTAACAGCTAAAGACTTCCCTAATGGCTTTCCAAGTGGATTTAGGGCTGTTTCTGGAGCTAAAAGAGCAGCTGATTCTTATGCTGCTAGTTCACCTCCATCTGCTTCAAGGTGATATTTGTCCTTTCCCTTCTATATTATGTTTTGTTTATTGAGGTATTTGCTATGTAGCATGGAACTCTCTACGTTTTCGTTTCGGAAACTCTTTGAAAACTCTGCAAACAAGTATTTTTTGAGCAAAAGTTTCCTGTTTCATGTTTCCTCGCGATTCCGCGATTCCGTGCAACATAGGGTATTTGTTCTAACAAAAGAAGTATAGGATCTTTTAGAAACAATTAGTAGTGATGAATCTGTTGATCATAGTTTTAAAGTGTAGACCCTAATATATGTTGATCAATATTGCACTAAGTAGCAGTGTTATTGTTGAAGTTCAAACTGCAACTGCATCACACTGATATTGCTGTGTTTTCTGTTTTGGGAGTATGAGTAAGAGAACAATTTAGGCCAGAAGAAAAAAACAGAAAACATAAACAGATAACTTTATTTGGATATGGTATTTAAGACTAGCTGACTTATTTTTTCAGCCTGTTCTACTCTGTTTTCAAGGACTTTTGAATCCAAGTTTAGATTACTTTGCGTTTGATGGCCAAAAACGTACTTAGTTTGCACTAATGATATTGAAATTCTAAACTGCAGCCACGTGGTAGGATGGCCACCCATAAAGGCATGCAGGATGAACAGCCTGGCTAATACTAACAACCAACCAAAAGTTCCAAGTGATGAACAACAAGATGGAGTTGTGAGTGAAAGTAAGCAAAAAACAAAAAGGAAAGTGAAGCATGGGAATTGCAAGGATGGTTCTCCTAGATGCCTTGGATTTGTCAAGGTCAATATGGATGGAATTCCAATAGGAAGAAAGGTGGATCTAAATGCTCACACCTCCTATAAGACTTTGGCCCATAACTTGGAGGATATGTTCTTTAAATCCACAACAAAAACTATGAGTCATATATGGAGTAAGTAAAACTATTACAATCTTTGTCTATCATGTCCCAAAAATGCTATTCCATGTGTGTTTAATTTATCTTCCTGCTTTTCATTTTAATATGTCCCAAAATAACTTTCTTGTTTCTATTATTAAGGAAGAATCTATATTTGTTATTATTTTACTCATTTTGACTAATTAGATCCGTAGTTAAACATTTTCACATTCAATCACATTTCTTAAGAGACATGCCAAATCAAAATTATAAGACAATTTCAATATGAATGGAGTAATTGTTATGATGATACTTATAACACGTTTTTTTGAAGGAATACTTATAACATATTGAATATAATGTTATGTTATATGTTTTAGGTAGAGGAAAGCAACAAAAAGTTGTACACACTAAGCTTTTGGATTTGGATGGATCCTCTGAGTTTGTGCTAACATATGAGGATAAAGATGGAGATTGGATGCTGGTAGGAGATGTTCCATGGGGGTATGTAATTTGTAACTAGTAACACATCTTTAAATTTGACATACATTTGAAATGTAAAGATGCATCGCATGCAAAAATATCACCCGAAATTTAAACCAAATAAAAGTTTAATTTAGTTGATAATAAGTTGAAAAGCCGTGCAGGCTCGACTCCCTTCTTTTTTTTTTTTTTTTTTTGCTCTGAGGCTTGATAATAAGTTGACATGCGTATTAAGAAAAATCAATTTTATGAATATTATGATTATGTTTGATGTAATTAAAATGGAGAAAAATGATACTAAATATGCAAATTTTATTTCCGAGTGAATCAAGAAGACAAATTAAAGGGGCGGGATTAAGTCATAGATGTGCTATTTGTTTTGGCGAAGGCAAAATATATTTTCTTTAGTACATTAATAGATATTTTCATACAGTTTTACTTCAATAGGCATAAGTACACAACTTTGCAATCCATAAAAGCTTTCTAGCATTTCTTTAAAGAAATTTCACAAGTAACTTTCTATTTTCCTTGCATATTAGGATGTTTCTCTCCACTGTTAAAAGACTGAGAATCATGCGGACTTCTGAAGCAAATGGACTTGGTATGTAATAATGTATTGATTATGGGCATGTAGACTATGTTTCCAATTATTTAAATACTCTATATATCATTACCCTTTCAATAAAGTACATTGTCACATGAAGCTAAATGAAGATTGTAATGTACTTTTTCAGCTCCAATTGTCCAAGAAAGACATGGAAGACACAAAGGAAAACCAACATAACTTCTTATATCCTGGCACTTTCAGCAGTGTTGTGCTTGCAAATTAAACCAGAAGAGTAAAAATCAGAAATAAAAAGAGACTTGAGAAATCACCATCAATCTTTTTGTAGTGGTTTTTGGTTATATGTATCTTAATTTTTTCCCCATTTTATAATTTATTATACCACCTGGTATTTCTTTAAGCTGACTTAATGTAGTAGTCTCTTGGAACATACGAAGTATTATGCATTCAGCGTTCTTAATTATATAATTTCTTATACTGTTGGCAAGAAATAGTTGGAACATGTTACGTTAGTGTAAATATGAGAAAACTTTTTGGGATTTTACATTTAACTAGTCAACTTTGGATAGGAACCGACACTTAACACTTTGACATTCTTACAGGTTTGAACTGTTAATTATTAGAGAATCTCAAATTTCACATTACCATAGCAATCCTAAAATGGATTTAGCTTTTGGATTAGGAATTAATTCTCATGTCTCGTTCTCCTAATCGTCGTGATCTCCTCTTCCATTGCCTTTTCCATTCGTTCTTTACAAAAGGTAACAAATCCGGAAAATATACATACGATCAAACAAATCAATTCATATATTGTCAATCAAATCAATAATAGATTTTGGTTCAGGTGAGAAATGCATCTAATGTGAGAAATGAGAATGAATCTCAGCCATTGGATTTACGAAGTTGCACTAAAATTGGCTTTATGTCGCAGTAATATTTAAATTTTGCACATGTTGCACTAAAACTGTTTCATGTTGCACTAATATTTGACGGCGTTGCACCGAAATAGCTTCATGTTGCACTAGACACGTGTAATACGGATTTTTCATAAGTATTTACATAAATGCCACCGTGCTAGATTGCATATTTCAGTGCATCATGAAGTGTCTTTTACTGCAACTTAGTCGAATCCAATGACTGAGATTCATTCTCATTTCTCACCCAAAGGGTTCTTCTCACTTGAACCTTACCCTCAATAATATATGGTCAATTAAACCAACCATTCGTTTGCCCCCTAGAAGTCTAGAACTAGTTCTTTTTCATAGTTCAACATGCAGTATATGATTAGTTATTTGTTAACAAAACCTAGAACCTGTAAACTTAGTAAATAAACATTAGTCATCAACAAAACCTAATATTCAACAATAGCAATGAGAGTAATTTGATACCATATATATATCGCAAAAACTAACATTTAACATACCTCGTGGATACAATTTTTTTAAGGGAGAACAAAAAATGACACTATGATTTTTTATGAATCTCATATTGAACATTGGGATTTTTAGTAGACCAAATTAACACCATTTCAATTTCTTAGTTGATTATTAGCCACCCACTAACATTCCCGTCAAAGTGACGTCAAACCACATTCTTAACATTATCACTATATTTACAAGTTTTCTATCCCCTTTTTACTTTTAAGCGTGGTAGCAAAACCTGCTTATCCGTCATTCTACTTTGAAATGAAATAATTACATAATTAGTAAAAACATATACTTCGTATATGATTTCAAAGCGCACAAATGGAAACTGCTTCTATGGTTTTCAGAGTTGTAATATAGGATGCCATTGTTGTACAATTTATTTAATAACCACGCCTGGATGAAGAGCTTGATGATAGGAGTAAAAAATATTGGTCACAACAACTTCAAACAGCTAGGCTAATCGAGTGTTTTAGTTTCAAATTAGTGTAGCTATATTCTAAATTAAGTCGTTCTTAAGTTGAAATTGAAGATGCATGACCTAATACATAACGCACTCAAGTGTCAATTTTTGTAAAGAAACATACTCATGTATTAATAATAAAGAAAGTACACATAGACGAAGCAGCACAATAGCTCAGAGCAACCTTTGAGTGAGATATAGAACTGACTAGCCCCAGAAGGCCATGCTAGATCGCTAACAGTATCGTTGTACTTGCTACTAAGACAAAAAACTAAAAAACTAGAGTTCATAAACTAAAAAGAAATAAATGAATCACAAATCATAGTTTTACCAGCCACCTGCAAGGGAGAAGAGGTTTGATATACCACGTCCAAAGATGTCATTCCGATTTGACCAGCCATCAGAAATGAATTATTAAACTTGCCGGTTTTTTCATCCACCGATAAGGAGCCAAATGCAGAAATTGTTCCGGTTTCACCAGCAACTGTAAAGAAAGCAATCCATATATTCAATTCCATCTTCTTGGATTGGCGGCGGTTCGGGGGGGGGGGGGGCATCGGCCTCAATATTGATGCAGTAATGCAGAAGAAATCCTGATTCATGATTGATAAAGAAGCCAATACAAACCTCTTACTAGCACACAACAACACCTGACTGATGATGGCGGGGAATATACATCTGGTGAGCGACACTTCGCAACCGAAAATAATATCTCTGAACAACGCTAGAAAATAAACATAAAGGTAGAACTGAAAACACTTATCAAACGAAGTCTTTTTAATGATTGGAATTGAATCAAAAGAAGATTGAAAGAGGAGAAGAAAAGAAGAAAAGAAGAGAAGGAGGCGGCTAGGGTTTCCCCTTTGCCGCTCCTCTCCCTACGTTAGCAATAAAATTAACTTAAGATTGAGAAAATTTTAGAAAATTATCAAATTAGCACCTTGGAAAGCTAAATAACTCTTAATATATCTTGTTAACATAGAGTAATTAAGATACTACAATTGACTAATTCAAATATAAACAAATGAGAAAATAATGACTTTAATGAATCGAATGCACGGAGGTACTCTCACTTATTTGTGTGGCGGTATTGGAGCAAGCACTATGTAATTAATAAAAAGACAAAAGAGTCAAATAAATCCTACTTCGTATATATTAGTATCTCACAAATATCACATGATCGACGTATGTACTTAAATAAGTGTCATTTACATCTATTTACTTGTACAAAATGATTGTTTAAACCAAATGACTTGAAGGTGATGTGATTTAACAGGTGAAATCACATGTGGCATTTAAAACAATTCCACATCATCTAAATTTTCCATATGGCTTTCTCCCCATTTGCTTTTTATTTTTTGCATGTCTCGTTTTCTTTTCCCTCTTTCTTTTTCTTTATTTGTCACGGCGTCACCTGTTTTCATCTCACCCCGGCATTTTCGGCCTCTCATTTTATTAATGATGTTTTCTTTTAAAATGAAATTTGCCGGTCTAGTCTGGTCTGATTAAGTCTGGTCTGATCTGAATTGGTCTGGTAAATGTCTGGTCTCCATGTTGTAGGTATCTTCCACCTTCTTTCTTAGAAGTTGCCAAGAGACACCTTAACATGGAGGCACCTTCTTGGAAAGAGGTCTCCAACAAATAAAGATGGGAGAAGATATGGAGATAACTATGGAAGCATGGATGCAACTTCCTCTTGTCTCCAAAGTAGCCTATAAATAAAGTGTTCTATTGTTGTTCATATCATCAGTTTTAGAAAGTGAGAAAAGTGTGTGAAGAGTGAAATACACTTAGAGTAGAAGTGTATTGGTGAGGATTGGTTTTTTTGTAATAGTTGAGTGTGAGAGTTTGCTCCTCCTATTGTAATTCTGTTCTTGATGTTGAATAGAAGAATTTTCCAATCCCAACATATGTATTTATAATTGTCCAAGTCTGGTCTGATCATGTCTGTTTAATTTTGGTTAGGTCTAGTTTAATCTGGTGTGTTTAAGTTTGATCTGGTCTGATTTGATCTAGTCCAAGACTGAAGACAATCCAAAAGAAAACATCCTAAATCTACACTCCACCGGCATTCATTTTCTTGCTTGATTTTCTTTGTAATTTAATTTTTTTTCTTTTACTCAATATATATGATTTGGCCAGCAAAAGAGAATACATGACTGAATGATATTTGTCTTGCTCTGTCTATTCTTATTTCTTTCTTTCTAAAAATAGTGGACGCTTTTCATTCTTCATGACTCGACGAATTCAAGTGATGGAATCACACAGAGCAAGAACGGAATCAGTTGGTATACTGTGGGAGCAGCCCACCGTGAGCATGCTGCTCCCACACACAAAAACGCGTGTTATTGTTCACACGGATGAACAGTAACTTATTTTTTTTCATTGTACAATAGCAGACTGATGTAACTCGTGTGTAAAAATATGTAACTCGAAATAACTGCAGGCAATTAAATAATGTTGTCTAATACGGATTATAAGAAATAAAACATTAATTTTAATGAAACAAAGATTCTAATTGCTCAATTACTTTACGTAAAGAGTGGATATGTTGTGTTTTTAATATTAATGCCATAAATAATGTTTTTTCTTAAAATCAATTTTTTGGGCCACAAATTCATTTTTTCGCAAAAAAAAAAAATCATTTTTCTTTTGCAAAAAGTGACTTGTCGTTTGTTTCAATAGCAGGAGTTTACTTAAATAGTGAATATGACCTCTTTTTAATATTAAGGTCATAAAAATAATTTTTTTTTAAATCATTTTTTTTGTCAAAGCAATCATTTTTTGCCAAAAACAATGTTTGAAAAAAAAAACGATTCTTTTGTTTCAATAGCTGCAGGGCTTTATGTTGTGATGGAAAATGTAACTCGCATTGATGAAAAATCTACCTTAAGTGTATACAAAATGTAACTTTTTAATGCAAGTCTAAATGTAACTCGCGCGTATGAAAATGTAACTCACGCATATAAAAGATGTAACTCGAGCATATGAAGATGTAACTCCATATACTATCAAAGCTAATTAATGAAAACAAGGAGTCTAATTGCTCAAATTAATTACGTGAATAGTTAATATGTTTTGTTTTTAGTATTAAGGCTATAAAATGTTTCAAAGAAAAATAAAAAAATTTACCAAAAAATCAGTTTTTTTTTGCCAAAAAATCATTTTTCTTTGCAAAAAAATGATTTTTTGTTTCAATAGATGGAGTTTATTTTATGATGTAACTCGTGTTATAAATAAATGTAACTCACGTTGATGGAAAATCTAATTTAGGTGTATGCAAAATATAACTTGTTGAGACAAGTCTAAATGTAACTCGCGCATTGGGAGATGTAACTCATACACAAGAAGATGCAACTCATTAATAACAAGATGTAACTCTATATACTAGCAAATGTAATTTTAGAAATTGTTTATGAACACAATTCACATATGTGGAAATATAAATCACACAAGTATAAAATATAAAAATACGTATTTTGAAGAAAAAATGATTTAATTTTAGGTTGTAATTTAAGCTGAAGCAAAAGAGAAGAAAAATAGTGAATGAAGAGATGAATTTATTTTGGAAAAGATATTTTTTTTTTGAAAAGATGAAAAATAGTGTATGAATGAGATGAATTTATTTTGAAAAGTTGAAAATTTGGTCACAAAATTTTAATACGTACATCAGTATTGCTAAATTTAAAATACAATTTGGAAACATGATTGCTTTTAATAATAAAAAATTAAAGTAAACAAAGAAAAAGCAAAAAAAAAACGATGGTGGAAGGAATTGAAGGAAGTGTGTATGTGCGATTAGAGAAGATAAGAGAGAGCACTTTTGATAATAAAAAAATTAATACGGAGTAGTAAACAACGAAAAACAAACAAAAAAAGGACGCTGGGGAGTGCAAGTGTGTCGTCCACGTTCCATTTATTATGAAAAACTGCACCGTATTTGGGATGTGTATACCATGTGCATGATATACCGATCCCACGATATAATTTGTCGAACGGAATGGCTTCTTGCCAATTCAGCAATTCTAATCAGCATATAGAACAAAAGGCGGAGTTAGAACACTGGACCAGTACAAAGCTTTTTTTTTTTCGGAAATAATTTTAAATTAAAAATGTAGATATTTTTTACACTAAAAATATAGACATTTTAAAATTTTGGGCTGGACCATGGTTGGTCTCTCCCTAGGTATGCCTTTGTATAGAACAATTCTCGTGCCCTTCAATTCAACCTTAATTATATATATCCTTGCTATGAAATTAGTTGAATCTAATTTAAAGCCAATAATTTCAAAGACAAATTTCTAGCTAATTGAAATTAATCCTGAGTTGGAAGTCTGCAAACAATCATCTCATGGGAAATAACTCAATTTGAGGGAGTCCTGGAAAGTCGCTCCATAGATGATAACATGCGTAATTGCGTATTTGGTACGTAGTACTCGTATTTAATTCAAATAAGGGCATTTGTGTACTTTTTTAAACTATTACATCAAAAAACATTTTTTATCGAACACTTCTACTTTAACTTTTCTACTTTAATCACTTCTATTATAAAATACTATCAACTTTTACTTTTCAATATTTTATTTAAAATCATTTTAAAAAATCAATTTTCAAGTTGAAACAATCACAAACACTCCTTAATTTTCAGTCCTATTTAGTTCAAAAACTTATACGAGTCCTATTTACTTACATGAGCTATCTTTTGATCCTATTTGAGTCTATTTCCCTTTCTTCATAGGGAGTATATAAAAATGATGAAGTAATGACTGACCTACCGAATGTGTTGAGGTAAGATATCGTCACTTACATGTGTGGTCGATATGTAACGTACTGTAGCATGCACCAGGTAATTAATTTAAAAGTGATTAAATTGTTAAAGTGAAACATGTGCGGCTGAGACTTATAAAAAGAAAAAAAAAATTATAAAGAGCTTGTGAATATTGTTCGCTTTGATACTTCAGGATCTCACAGCTTTAAAACACGACCACAAGTAAAAGCTGTAGACCCTGCTTATAAGCATGTACACTATCTTGTGTATGAGCGATGTGGGAATTTCAGGTTCACAGCGAGCCCTCTCATCGCGGGCATCGTGGTGATAACGTGTTATAAATATCTTGTGGATAGGGAATAAGACACGAATAGGACAAAAACATGCTACGGGAATCTAAATAGGAGCTTCAACTTTTTTATACCCGTATAGGACTAATTTTCATGCTATGAGACAAAAATAGCCCTGCTTCCTTCACATGGTGCACAAGCTTATTACAAGTGCCCTGCGGATAGAATTGGCCGCACACCTTAAACACGAATACCATCCATCGGACCTCGATCGCTTGAGTGCGGAAAACGTTGTCAATCGTCGTCTTCAACACTAAATCGCATCTCTATGAACTTTCGAACTTCTGAATTCATTCAAGTTTGGGAAGAAGATTAGCGACAGATTTTTTAACATAAAACATCATTTTGTTTTCTTCTTTCCATGGCTGATCTCCTCTGTTTGTATATCATCCTTCTCTGCTTAGTCCATCTTAACTCGGTAAAAAAAAAACTGTTACCTTGCATCTAAGATGTTTGGGCGCCATTAATGGTTGTTCACGCTTAGAAGGAAAAGGTCTGATCCACGTAAGCTTGACTCGTTTGGCTAGTATAGTGAAGGGAAGATAAAAGAATTGAAGGGTTTGGCTCTAGTACAGTGACTCAGAGTAGTATATTCGATACCTACCCACGTAATTTGAGATTTTAGATTACATTTAGGAAATATTGTTTAAATTTCAGACTAATATTTTAATTGACATTAAAATTACATTGCAGCCATTCAAGATACAGATGGCTTTTTGTGAATTATGTTAGCTGTATATGAAAACCATGAGACCTACTCGTTCATTGTTACATCATCAAACTCATGTATATTTTATTACTCTGTAGCTTTTTACAAATTTAGAGAAAAATTAGCTTTTGAGAGTTTGAGACACAACCTGAAACATATTAAATGTTGAAATAATGGTTGTGATATCATGAAACCTACTCCCAGATTATTATGACATGACAATGTCATAACGTAAACATGGACGACATGTAAAAAATATTGAAAAAGTGTGGATATTATAACAATAACAATGTCGTTTTTATTGGAATGTCATTATGTCAAATAATTACAGCGTCAATGTTACGAATAATGACATTGTAATAATGACGATGTCAATGTTAATACTACAAAAATTGACATTTTGATATTGACAATGTCGATGTCGATGACAATATTGTGAAAATGTCAGAAACATTTTACAATGGCAAACATTATTATTACTTATGAATATTTCAAACAGACACGATTTTTAGAATCGTGTGATGATTGGAGAATTTGAATCAAACAATTGTAAAAAGAATATATATTTCAACTAACATCAAAATGTTATAATCTCAAATAATGACAATAACAATGTCAATATAAATGATATTATAACAATGTCAATGAATGTCATTGTCATTAAAAATGACATCAAAATGACATTATAACAATGACAATGAATGTCATTGTCAACGCTATGAAAATGACATTGTAAGTCAACACACTACAAGAAATTCTTGTAGTGATATTGAAATAAGAAAAATCTCACACTGTCAAACATTTTCATTATAAATATTTTCATTGAAACTGTGTTACAATATTGTCAACATTATGAAAATTTAAAAAAAGCACAATGTCTATGACAATGTTATAAAAAAAGACATTGTAACAAAGATATAAAGACAATATCATTATTAATATTGTGACAATGTGAAATAAGAACAATGACATTGGAATTAAACAATTTTGAAAAGAATTACAATATTAAAAAAGTGTCAGAATATTGAAATCATTTATCAAAATTGTCATTATTAATAGTGACATTGTTGATATAATTGAATATTATCTAACAATGCACATCAAAGTGTTAGAGTAATAATGACATTTGAATCATTGAAAAAAAATGACATTGGAATCAAATATATCTAAAAATAATTAATAGAAAAAATTGTAAAAAAGATAGAACTCAAAAAATAAATTAAATTCATTCAATAATGAGACCATGACATTGTATGAAAGCAAAGGTCCGCTTAACTTCTGTTGGTTCTAACTTTTAACCCAACCGACGGAATATGTAAAAAAAAACAATTAAGTTTTACATCCCTCATTGTCTCATTGAAGAACAGAACTGAATAATCATCACGAGGAATAGCTTGTTCGTACACATTTATACATATATTTACTATATCGTGTTGGATTAAACTCAACAAGACTGTATGTATCATTCATTCAATAAAAAATAAGAATACCAATCAAAAACAAATACTCCGTACAATGGTACAATAAGAAAAAAGAAAAGTAAGAAACAAGGCTAAAAAACGTAAGAGAATCAAAATTCAAAAACATATGAATCTTAGTATCTCACGCAGGCAAATTAAAGTCGGACATTCACAGATGTAAAAGAGAAGTCGGACACTCCCAGATCTAAAAGAGAAGAAGAGAAAAAGAAGAAGAGAAGAAGAAGAGGAAGAAGGAGAGGAGAGGAGAAGAGAGAACGCAGCAGGGCCTCCCGCCGCACTGCCGCACCACTGCACCGCTGCGCTGCAACGCCACATCTTCTTTGTCTTGCCACTTCTGCACGCCACTATAGCTCAACTCTTCGATTATTTTGTACGGTGCTCTTATTACGTGGGATATACTATATTATTTATGTTAAGCAAATAACTTGTAATTATTTCTTTTATTATTTGTGATTGTTTCCTTTTAGAAAGGCTATTCTCTGTATCGGTTCTTCTCCTATTTAAAGGATTGGCCGTATGGTTCAAAGTAGAACAAGAATAATAATAAAGTTGATTTTATTCCCTATTATTTCCCTACGATCTGTCATGGTATCAGAGCCATAAAACGCTGCCATGGCCAATGACGAAGATGACGCTGCCGGGCAGCCACCGGCGAAGATAGACCACAACTCGCCCTATTTTTTGGGGCCGCAAGATCGTCCAGGCGATTCCATTACCCCGGTGCGGCTGAATGGAGATAACTATGACAATTGGGCGAATGCGATTCGATTGGCGTTGCGTGCTAGACGGAAATATGTGTTCGTTGATGGCACCATCACCAAACCCAAACCGCCATGTACGGAGGATGATTGGATTACGATCCACTCTATGTTGGTGTCCTGGATCCTCAACACCATCTCTCCGGATGTGAAGAATACTCTGTCTATGTATGATAATGCGCAAGCTCTGTGGGATGATCTCCGAGAACGTTTTTCAGCCGTAGACGGCCCGAAATTACACCAAGTCAAAACTGATTTGGCAAGGTGTACACAGGCCAAAGGGATGTCAATTGGTATGTATTATGCCAAATTGAAAATTCTGTGGGATGAATTAAACAATCATGAACCAATAATTGAATGTAAATGTGGCCGTTGCACTTGTAACGTGGGAAAGCAACATGAAAAACGCAGGGCAGATGAACGTTTTCATCAGTTTCTTATGGGACTAAATGCTGAAATTTTTTGTCCTATTCGGTCACAGCTTCTCACGCAGGTTCCACTTCCGACTCTGAATCGCGCATATCAACACACCGTGCAGGAAGAACGCGTGAGGGGCATGACTGCTGGTTCGGAAACACCGGATATTCTCGGTTTTGCTGTCAAAACTGATGGACGTGCATACGGGCGCGGAACTAAAATTGACAAGACCGGCTTAGTTTGCTCTTACTGCAAATACACCGGCCATGATGTGAAGAGCTGCTTCGAGCTAAAGGGGTATCCCGATTGGTGGGGGGATAGACCCAGGGCCGACACTAAAACTGCAGGTCGCGGCAAGGGAATACCGAAGGGGACTGGACGAGACAAATCAATGGCTAAAGCTCACGCAGCAGTGGCAGACACCATTCTGCCACAGGAACCAGCCGCATGTGATAAAACAGCAGGTACACCATTACCTGGGTTCTCCCCAGAGCAATGGCAGGCTTTGATAACGGCCTTTGGTAACCCACAATCATCGTCTGGTCGCATGGCAGGTAATTTTTCCACCGGCACTTGGATCATAGACACCGGCGCTACAAATCACATTTGTAGTGATTTAAATCTTCTATTTAAAACTCAGAACATAACTCCTTGTTCGGTTGGATTGCCCGATGGAAAAACGGTTCAAGCTACTAAAGAAGGATGTGTTAAATTTTCTAATGGATTATGTTTGCAACACGTCCTATTTGTTCCTCAAATGAAGTGTCATCTTATTTCGGTGACTCAATTAAATGATGCGCTTAATTGTTTTGTTCAATTTTCCTCTGACTTGTGTGTTATACAGGACCGAGTATCGAGGAAGCTGATTGGAACGGGTGAGAGGAGAAATGGGTTGTACTATCTTCAAGATTCACCTACTGCCCGCATTTTGACAGTTGCAAGTAGCAAAAATTCTATCTTTGATTTATGGCACAAACGGTTGGGACATCCATCTCGCAATGTGATGCGTTGGTTAGCACCAGTGAGTAATTTAAGGGGTTCTTTTAATTCCGCATGCGACGTTTGTTTTAGGGCCAAGCAACACCGGGCTTCGTTTCCCATTAGTAGTAATAAAACTCATGATATTTTTGAGTTAGTCCACTGTGATTTGTGGGGTCCCTATCATACCCCATCTTCTTGTGGTGCAAAATTGTTTTTGACTATTGTTGATGATTGTTCTGGGCCTGTATGGATATATTTGCTGATGGACAAAACTGAAGTATTTAAAATGTTTATGATTTTTCTTGCTATGGTGGAGAGACAATTTTCTAAACAGGTACGCATTGTGCGTAGTGACAATGGAACAGAATTTAATTGTTTGAAATTTTTTTTCAAACTAGTGGAATCATCTTTCAAACCTCCTGCGTTGGGACACCGCAACAGAATGGGCGGGTCGAACGCAAGCATCAACACATTCTCAATGTGGCGAGGGCTTTGCGGTTTCAGGCTAATTTGCCTATTTCTTTTTGGGGTGAGTGTGTCCTCACTGCCGCCTATTTGATTAACCGCACACCGTTGTCTGTACTTCATTTTAAAACGCCTTATGATATTCTTTTTGGTCAACCACCTTGCTATGACCAGTTGCGCACCTTTGGATGTCTTTGCGATGCCTATAATTTGAAATCTAAAACTGATAAATTCGGTAGTCGCAGCCGCAAGTGTGTTTTTGTTGGGTATGTTTTTGGCAAAAAGGGATGACATGTTTTTGACTTGGATACACATGAATACTTTGTATCTCGTGATGTTAAATTTCTTGAAGACCAGTTTCCTTTTGCGGATTTGCCACCCTCTTCGGCCTCGGATTCAGACGAACTTAGTGCCTCTCCTCCAATTTTGCCAGCAACGTATGATGATGTATTAGATGTGGCCTCCCCAGCCACAAATGTTCCTCCCGTGGACACTATCCCAGTTGATGTTCCTCCTGTTACTACCTCGGTTGATGTACCACCAGATATGTTGTCTCATGTGGAAGAAAATATCCCTTTGGGTCGCGGTTTGCGTGCTAAGCAGTCTTCGGTCCGTCTGAAGGACTATGTTACTCATACAGTTATTCGACAGAATCCCATTTCTCCCTCTCCGACTCCATCAGCTTCCGCAGGTACACCGTTTCCTATTACACATTATATCAGTTGTGATAATTTTTCTGCGCCACATCGTATATTTCTTGCAGCTGTCTCCTCACACACAGAGCCTCAATCTTTTCGTGAGGCGGTTAAGCATCCCGAATGGCGTGAAGCCATGCAGGCCGAAATTCAAGCTCTTGAAAAAAATTCAACGTGGACCCTCACTCCTCTCCCTTCCGGAAAGCGAGCTTTAGGCTGTAGGTGGGTCTACAAAATTAAATATCATGCCGATGGACGTGTGGAGCGTCATAAGTCCCGATTGGTTATCTTTGGCAACCGCCAGGTTGCCGGGCTGGATTATACTGAAACTTTTGCTCCAGTTGCTAAAATGGCGACTGTGCGTGCATTCTTAGCTGTTGCTGCTTCTAAAAACTGGGAATTACATCAGTTGGATGTTCACAATGCCTTTCTTCATGGGGATCTTCATGAAGAGGTGTACATGACTTTACCTCCAGGCTATTCTACTCCTGATCCTACTTTGGTCTGTCGTCTTAAAAAATCTTTGTATGGCCTTAAGCAGGCACCCAGGTGTTGGTTTGCCAAACTTGTTAGTGCTTTAAAAGGTTATGGTTTCACTCAGTCTTTTGCAGATTATTCTCTTTTTACACGTGCTACTGACTCTGTTCAGTTGAACGTCTTGGTGTATGTGGACGACCTTATTATTTCTGGCAATGATTCAGTGGCCATTAATTCTTTTAAATCTTATCTCAGTGACTGTTTCCATATGAAAGATCTGGGGAAACTGAAATATTTTCTTGGCATTGAGGTTGCTCGGAGTTCTTCTGGGTTATTTCTCACTCAGCGCAAATATGCGCTAGATATTATTACTGAGGCTGGTCTTCTTGGCGCTAAACCTGCGGCTTTCTCTATTGAACAAAATCATAATCTTGCTCAGGCCTCAGGTCCTTCTCTCACGGATCCTGAACCATATCGTCGCCTGGTGGGACGCCTAGTTTATCTGGCTGTTACCCGTCCAGACTTGGCTTATGCGGTTCATATTTTATCTCAATTTCTTCACAGCCCACGTCTAGATCATTGGCATGCTGCTCTGCGGGTTGTTCGATACCTAAAAGGTTCCCCAGGTCAGGGAATTTTGCTTCGGGCTGATAGCGATCTTACTCTTACCGGATGGTGTGATTCCGATTGGGCCGCCTGCCCCCTTACTCGGAAATCCGTATCTGGTTGGCTGGTTTTTCTTGGACACTCTCCGGTTTCTTGGAAAACTAAAAAGCAAACAACCGTAGCTCGGTCTTCTGCTGAAGCTGAATACCGCTCTATGGCGGCTGCCACTTGTGAATTAAAATGGCTCAAAGCTCTTCTCCTTAGTTTGGGAATTCATCATCCCCAAGCCATTCCTCTATTTTGTGACAGTCAGTCTGCCTTGCATATTGCTCGGAATCCTGTCTTCCATGAGCGTACAAAACATATTGAGGTGGATTGTCACTTCGTTCGTAATGCTATTCAAGACAATCTGATTGCTCCCAATTATGTACCGACTACTATTCAGCTGGCAGATATCTTCACCAAAGCTTTGGGCAAGACGCAATTTCATTTTCTCCTACGCAAGTTGGGCATTCTTGATCCCCATGCTCCAACTTGAAGGGGGGGGGGGGGTATTACGTGGGATATACTATATTATTTATGTTAAGCAAATAACTTGTAATTATTTCTTTTATTATTTGTGATTGTTTCCTTTTAGAAAGGCTATTCTCTGTATCGGTTCTTCTCCTATTTAAAGGATTGGCCGTATGGTTCAAAGTAGAACAAGAATAATAATAAAGTTGATTTTATTCCCTATTATTTCCCTACGATCTGTCAGCTCTACCTTGCTTAGCTATGGAGGAAGGAGAGAGAGAGAGATCAGCCAGGTTGTTGTGGAAAGATAACACGGAGTAAAGTTTGGCGTGAAAGATGAAGTTCAGGCTAGAAAACAGGGGCAAAAAGTCACACTCCTATTTAAGTATATACGAAAAGTCACACTCCCATTTGGAAATATTTTAAATTTAGGTCCTATTTAGGAGTTCAAAAAGTCACACTCCTATTTAAGTATATACGAAAACTTAAGGTCCTATTTGGCACCATTTCTCTTGTGGATATTGTCCGCTTTGATACTTCAGGACCCCACGACTTTAAATCGCATCCACAAGTAAAGGTTTCATGCCCTACTTATAAGCACGCACACTATCTTGTGTGCGGGCGATGTGGGAACTTTAGGTTCAAAACAATACTAAACTCATTTTTTTAAAGGAAAGTGACAAAGTTTATAAAATAAAATGTGGTATTATGTGTGCCTTTTTAATACCTGTAAAAAATTGCAGTTAAAAAGAAGAAATAAATATCAATAGGGAAAACTGTCAAATAGGTCCTCGAACTTTCATAAAAAGGTCAATTAAGTCCTTCTATGGAAGGTTTTGTCCGGCCGTCGTGATTTGGGGCAGTTCCCGGTGGAATTTTTTGATGAATTTTTTTGAGCATCTTATTCACCAGGTCTAGTTTACTCATACCAAATTTCAACTAAAACTTCAATTGGGAACACATTCAAATTAATTCTTGAAGATAACTGCGCATTTTTGCGTTCTCGAATTAATTTGAATGCGCTCCCGATTAAATTTTTAGCTGAAATTTGGTATGAGTAAACTAGATTTGAGGAATAAGATGCTCAAAAATTTCCACCGGGAACCGCCCCAAATCGCGACGACCAGACAGAGTCTCCTATAAAAGGACTTAATTGACTTTTTTATGAAAGTTCGAGGACCTATTTGACAGTTTTCCCATATCAATATTCCAGTTCCTCGATATCAGAACAAATGAGCATCACATTTAGTCTAAACATGATTTTCATTGGATCTGATGTCTCGGAAACTGGAATAATATACTACTTCACCCATTAAACCACTTCAAGCTTTGGTGAAATGAGTATGCGTGGGAGTTATTTAGCGTTTTGACACATTGAATGTGTCGGTGTGGAATATTGGGAGAGCCAGAAAACCATTCTTTTGCATGGTAGGGTTTGTAGATGTAGATTGTAGAGAATACTAAATTAATAAAGAACTGGTGATATATTAGTAAATAGCCTTGTGGATAGAGCTGTCAAACGGGCCAACCAGCCCCGACCTATGGCGGGTTATGAGTTTCACGGGTTGGGGCGGGCCAATCCGTTTACTGTCAGGCCAGAGTTTTTGTGACCCTAACCCAGTCCACCTAACTCACGGGTTTCGCGGGCCAAGCCGCGGGCCACAAATGTCAAAACAATAAATAAATAAATATGTAAATTAAAATCCAAACACCATTAAAGTAATGCTCCCTCCGTTCTGAAAAGGTTCGTCAAATGGACTTTTCTTGTTCAATGACATCAACTTTGATCAATGATATTTTTTTATATGAAATTATTTTGAATATGAAAATTATACGAAAAATGTTCCTTATTCAAAATATTTCATAAAAGTATAAAATTTATAAATTATAAACAAATACGGAGTATAATAACCAAAATCATTATCCAAAGTTTGTCATATTTGATTAAGAAAAATTGATATGGTGAACCTTTTCGGGATGGAGGTAGTAAGATATATGACTATCATTGACTTCATCACTCTGTAAGTCCAAAAAAACTTTCCAGCAGTTAAGAAAACAAACATCATTACAAATGTTTTAAAAATTGAAGATTGTAGGAGAGAATTAATATAATTGGGTCTATCGATTGTTTGTTCGGCTCTATACAACTTCTCCCAGACTCCCAAAGAGACTCTTAATTATTTGATGTCTCTTCATCTCCTTGGTGACCTTTCATTTGTTCGGCA